CACCCCTCCCTCCTCCCTCAAGCGGCTCGTCATAATGTGGACTGCGGGGTGTTATGTCAACAGACACCCAGTGCAAACATCGTGTTCTATTTAAATAACATACATACTTTTCTTAGCTTATGACCTCATTGCAATGAGCTGGCTTTCTGTGTCACAGGCAGTCAGAGCGAGAATGTACAGCGCACATTCTTAATACACCAGCCTCGAAAAGTTCGGGATATTTGGCTTTGGGGTAACAGCTCAGGATGACCCTAGAATGCAAGATAATCTTTCCAAGGGAAAATAATATGACCTTCTTTACATCTTTGAATGCAAATGCTCAACTATTTCAATGTTTCAGTACTTTTTACGCAATTTGTGGTTTGGGTCTCCAACAAGCAAAACGGCAAACTTTCACAAAGGCAAATTGATTCGGGCAATCCATTTCATGAGATGAAAACGACACCCCAAAAAAATTGATCAACAGTACCTCGCCGTTGAGAGAGGTAAGTGGCCATCGAGATTACCGGTATAGAGTCACAAGAGTGAAAACGCAAGAGAGAGACTGGAAGAGTCACAGAAAGGCATGTTGAATACACAGTCCTCAACATGCTACACACATGACAAATGATTCAACATAAAACTGATTCACCAGTGGCCAAGTGTTCAGTTAGCCTTTAGCGTCAGTAAGAGCTTGGCTTGGAAAACAATATCGCGCGCACAAACCAACATCTGACATTGCCGAACTTGCACCCAGCATCAAATCAATTTGGGCGGCCCGCTAAAACACATTGTGTGTGTTTAATTCATTTCTTACAAAAATCTGTCTGAAAAAGACTCATTGTCTTCACTTTTAATCACGTTGATGATGAAAGCATATATATTGAAAAAAAAAATATATATATATATATATATATATAAAAAATCCTTTTCCCTGACTTCTGATCTGATTTTGTGAATATATAATCACGCATTGGTGCGATTATACATTCCCGGCCCTCTGAGGGAAACCACAAAAACAAACCGTGGCCCTTGGCCCCTGAACAAGGTGACCACTTAAATTATCGGCATCATTAGAACAAAAAAACATAACCGAGGAATGACGAAGGAAATCAAAACACAATCACCTTACCTTGCCCTTCCGAAAACGTTCCCTCAAGAGTCCCCTGACAAAAGATGACATCCCTCTCGTCTTTCCCCAAGAGCTCCTGTGAAGCGGTTAATGTTTAATCCTCAGTTCCTGTGGAGTGAGTCCTGACCGGCCCGCGAGGAGCGCAGGGGTCACGGCGGTGGCCTCCGAGTGCGACGATGGGCCGATGTGGGCTGACACCGCGTTGCGCCGCCTGACGATTTGTTTAAGGGTCTCGCCTCACTCATCTCGGACCACCGTGCCGGCAATGTAAACACCGGAGCGGCCCTTTATCACGCGGCGCTGATACGCCGGGCCGGCTCCTTCTTGTCGCCATGGCGACGGCGCAAAGGGCAAAGGCGTCGGGGGTGCGATTGACATTGGACTTTAGAGGCCGTTAGTCAGATGGGAGGCGCGATAGCCAATTGCTAAACCATTGTTTTATGAGTTTATCATTTGAGCAAGGGTCAGCGGCGGAGCACGACGACAAGGGAGAATGCGATTTTCGGGTCAGACCGTCTGAATCTGACAATCCATCCATTTTCGAGGAGGACTGAAAACGAGAAGACTTTGCGTCATATCATAGCAATCACCGGTTACGATGCAATGCCGTGGGGTCATTTGGGGGAATTTTTGATCATTTACTTTGTAAATGTTCCAAGGTGACACCTTGACATCAATTGCTTTCGAGATTTTTGCCCAAAAAGTCCTAATTCAGAACTGTTATGCAAACACAATAAGATAAAATGTCTCCTTTGCGATACGCATTTTGGCTTTTGATTGAGTTGAAACGTGTGACCAACAGCGCTGCTATTCAGTATAAAACAGTACCTCGAATTACGGACGTCTCTTCATACGAAATTTTCAAGTTACGAAACGCCTCAACAGGAAAATATTGCCTCTTGTTCCGAAAGAAATTTCAAGATACGAAAGGCAAAGATATAGTATGGGCTGCTACTTGCAGCTCAGAGTTTCCTGAACGCAACATACTGATAGCTGCTCTGCCATTGGCTATTACCTGGCATCTTCCTGGCATCCCATTGGCTAAGAGGGACCTCTGCCATATGGGTTCTACATGCGTAGATAAATAGATTGATCTGTGTCTATGCAGCGTCCTCGACATTCGCCCCTCTTTGCCATCAGGCATTCCGATAGTTTTACGTAAATGTGAATCACCCAGAAAAAATGTTCACTGGTCGGGCGATCGCTCGCTACGCTGATGTTTGCCTTGGACATTTTTGAAGGATTGTTAAAAGCCGACAAAAGCAAACGTCCTTGGATCAATTATTTACAAAACGCCAGGCAGAAACCACTTCTGAGAGAGAATATGAACTAAAGAGAGCAAAAAACGATGAGGACGCAGATAAAAGTTAAATGACCATCATTGTAATTCTTTAGTCTCTTTGTTGTTTTTTTACATGATGCACAACTCTCATTTATTGTGCATTCATCTCATTGTAATATGTATTTGTTGCATATTTTGACCCATTTTTATGCTTCTTAAAACATTTGTCTGAATTTTGGGTGGGGCTTGGAACGGATTAGGGCATTTACATGGAAAACGCGTCTCTACTTACAAAATTTCCGAGTTAAGAAATTTCATACATATTAATTTCCTAAGTAGAGGTACCACTGTAATTGAGAATGCCTGACTCAGCATTCAGTACAAAGCACCATAGAGACCTTTGTTTCCCCAAATAGCTAAAAATCCCATCGACTCCATTGCCAACGAGGCAGGACTGGCTTTTAATGAGTCGTGTTACTCAAGATCTTACGTCTCAACACAGAAAAGTGAGGTTACATAAAGCCCGGCGGACTCTGACCTCTGCATTGACAGCGTGGTCATTGCCGGTATAAGATAGAAACCCGTTGAAAACGCTCAGGCTAACAAAAGACAGAGGCCCAGTGGAGCGCGCGACCACGC